GATGTGTCATTACTCACCAAGGACACGGACTCGTCGTAGGTATCGGGGGAAAGGCAGCAGAAAGCTTGAAGTGGCTCTCTGTGTCTGAGTGACTGAAAACACTTCCTTGGGGTTTTTTAAACTTGCAGACTGCATTAGTTAGTTAACTTATAAAATATGCCTGAGAACAGCTGGAATCTGACTGAATGCAGCCAGTCCCATTGAATTGTTAATGATGTCTACAGCATGTTAGGATTTGTTTTGGAATAAATACTCAATGCGTAATTTGTTAGCATGTTTTCAGTCTGAAGTGTGAAAGCAAATTGAAGCCTATCCCACTGTACTGGCTTTTAAAGACTCAGAAAGGTACAGGCAAATACAAGCGCTGATTCTGCAGCAGCTCTTGAGAAGATGTCTCAGATGATAAGGTGTATCTAGCTCTGGTTCCTAGGCTAGCATTCAGCAATGATGGGGGAATGGAGAAGTGGCTTTGTCTGCTGTTTTTCCAAGTGATTGCTGAATGATTTAACATGTCTGGAGTGTTTTGCCTTGTATTTCTAATGATTTTGTCTTTGCTCCTTCTGTTCGGTTTGAAGCAGGCTGTGTGTGTTAATTAGGAAATGTAAATACATTTACAGAACTGTGCATTTGGATGCATCTTTCAAAAGCAAATGCGGTAACCACACCACTAGAAAACACGAGCAAGTATTTATTCTCACAGTTATTTTATGGCCTGAAATATCCATTTCTATATAAGTATAGCTTTTAAAAGAGAGGAAATGTTGGGAGATTTGTAACCTTAAATGGAATGTAAATTCATATAAAAATCAGTAGTTTGTGGCTTTCATTCCTGGCTACCGGAAAGACAACTTCTCGCTCCATGAGCTCCCGTAGTGGAGCGGGTTGGCAGAGCCTTGGAAGCTGTTCCTGGAAACCTGGAAGATAGTGGTGGTTCCTGCTCTGCCAGGAGCCTTTTGCTGGGAGGCTCAGTGCTGAGAGCCTTGATTCTGCAGCCAGCAGGGATAAAGCTAACGTACGGGCATTTAGCACAGAGCTAATTGGAGTTCCATATTTCCAGCCTGTGGGCAATAACACTAAGAGTTTGAAGTAAATTTTGTTCCAGGTCAGAGTTAATACACATTTTAAAAGACAAATTTAGAACAAAATTAAAACAGTGTACAGGTTCAAGAAATACACACTTGTGGTACTTAATTTCCTTTTATAATTATTTTACATATTTTTTATTATTTTATCATTGTACACACAACAACTTTTGACATTTCAAAATACATATGACAGTGGAAGTATTATTTGAGGTTTTATATGCGTTCAGGCCTGTAATAACGACTGAAATGTTTGTCTTGTTTCCTGAGTTACAGTGGAGCATCAAACTTTTTATGTACATTATAACCTTTGGGTTACTTACAGTACACTCCGTGGTAGAAAAGATCAAACTGTATAACCTCCTGCTGCGCCATACCCTGCAGTACAACATTATGCTGATTATCACACCAACGCTCTCCTACAGATTTTTTTAAACCTGAAATTCTAGCTTTCTGTGAAATGACAAATTCAGAGCCCAAACTCTTGTCATTTAAAAATGAATTTTCCCTGCGGGAACTTCTCTTGAAATCAGCATGTTTTCTGAATGTTTCTCTTTTAACCAACTAACAGCTGTTGTTTCAAAAGAGAAGAGAAAGAACAAACCCCATTTTTAGAAAAACATTCAGCACAAGCTTTTATTTGAGGTCTGATGCCAGGGACAGCTCTTCACCTAAGATTTCCCTGTGGGTGATAAGCTTAGCAGAACGATAACAGTTTGCTGCTGCGGACTGTCCTTTGTTTTGCCTGCTGCATGCTTCCTAAATCCTTCTCTGCTAAGGAAGGCCACAGAGAGGCCACCAGGACCCTTCTACTTATGAAGAAGAAGTTGAATAATCGCTAGCTCCATGTGCTTCTCTCCCCGGCCCCTTCCCAGCAGGGCTGTGCTGTGCACTGGCTCTTCCCTTGCTACACAACCGCTCCTCACTTCCCCGGTTGCTGCATTGCCACCCCTACCAGACCTTAGGAGCTCTCCTAATCTTGTAAACTGAAGGAGGATGGTTATCCTCATTTCCCCCCCTTGTTATTAATTCTACTCTTCTGTCCTTGCCAAGATACCTATTTACACCTTTGCTTGCAACCTGCTTCAGGCTCTACAGATCTCCCACCTTCCGGGGCCGACATCTCCTGTGCAGCTGCCCCTGACAGGCACTGCCATCTGCACCCGCGCGCGACTCTCGCTGCTCACCGTAGACCTCGCCTTGCCCTCTGCAGAACGATGGTGCTCGCTGGGCTTCTTTGCTTCATTGCTCTCTTTTCTTTCAACTGAGCTCTATTTGGGGAATTGTTCCTCGCTTTGTGCTTAAGGTTAAGAGGCTGAACTAATTTCCCAGGTGTTCCTCATTGAAAACGTCTCAAAAACAAAAGTAGGCCCCTTGTTACTGCTGAAAGCATAAGGAAAACACACTTTCCCTACCATTGTCTGTGTTTGACATTTGTCATAGCAAAATTTACAGAGGAGCTTGGTATATGGCCCATTCGTGCATCATATTTTTATTTTGGAAACCACAGAAAAACCAAGGCCTCATTACCATGAAAAAGTAAGGCTTAAATCTGTAACCGTATAAACTATACCTTATAAAACAAGCTCTGGTTTTGTCTCACAGCTCCCATCTCAGGTTGCTTTCGCTTAGTCCTTAGTAATGAAATGGCGCTGTAAACTTACTTTATGTCCTGCTCTGCAGTAAAGTACAGTGTAGTAGGTGGCAGACACAGGAAATTATATGCTCAGTCACTTTACTGTGAAAAGTATTGATCACAAATGAGAATCGTAGCCTCAACGTGTCCAATTTACAAACAGCAGAGAAAATAGAGATGGACCAAAGTAAAGGTATGAAGTTGTATTCAGTCTTTACCAGCCCCTGATGACTGATGGTGCGGTTTGCCTATGAACAGTGGGAGGGAGTCAAAGACTGTCTTAGACCTTCTCCTGTGCCATCCTCCCGCAAATAGTTGGACGCAGGGCTTGCGCATGTGCATGTGCTCTTCACAGAAGCACTCTGCAAGCGAATGCTGAGAGACGGTGCTAGAAAATATGAAGCTCGGCTTCTGGTGCGTGGCAAATGCTGCGTCTGCAGCTCACTGCTTGCAAGTCCTGATTCAGGCAGAAGTGGAAGGGTGAATGATGCATCAAAAATAAGCCTGATACTGCAACTGTGACTAGCTGTGGCTTTGGAGAGGGTGGAAAACTAGTCATCCAGTAAGTGTCCCTGAAGATTATGATCCCCATATAAAATTATCACTTTTCTCCACTATTGAAATAGCCAGATCACATTTGCATTAAACAAAATGGAAGATAGTGTTAGCTTTTGTACTGCCACTGTCTTTAAGCACCACCAAGAAAATATGGGTTTGTTTTCCTGCTTCAGATACTTCAGATTCTGTGGGACATTTTCTTACAAGACGTCCGTAAACATACTCAGGAGAGAAGTGAAAGTTAGTAAGGCAAACATTGTTTTTCCTTTATGACAAGTGATTTGCCTTAAACCTCTCTTTTTCCTGTGTATCCAGGGGCTGTGACACAGTCCTGCAGGCTAAAATACAACCCCCAGCAAACACTAACGGTAAAAAAGGAAAGCAAACAGGAAAATACGTTAATGTCTCAGGGATTTGCTTTTTCTTGCTCTTCCTTCTTACTTCCTTGGTGAGTGTTTTCTGCATTAAATCCTGTGGCTGTGACTGTCACACCATGGGCAAACCAGCAGGGCAGGGCTTTCATGTTTTTGCACTCAACATGGTCCCCACAGCTATTTTGATGGGAGTTGTGGGTGGGCAGGAGGGGTGAGCTGAGCTTGGGTGGCCACTCTGGCTTTCAGATGAAGTTGTATCATCTCCCTCGTACAAGAAGCAGTTGGTGACTGCAGAGCTTGGACAACTGACAGACCATCCTGAGCCTGTAACCAGAAAGCTCCGGTGGTGGGAGGAATAATAACAGACACTGAGTTGCGTCCCACTGAAAAATTAAAGGAAGAGGAAAGGCTAGCACAAAGTTTCTGGAGATGATAACCCAAGAGCTCTGGGGCATCATGCTGTCAGTGGGAAGAATTAGTGGCTGCAGAAAAAAAGATAATGCAGAGGTCAGGAGTAATCTGGAGAGCTACAAACACAGAGAGGAGATGAGGGAGGGCACGCAGCCTGGCACATGCCTGGATCGCAGATAAGCATGAACCAGGTGTTGGTTCAGCCTTGTGGACAACAAGGCAATGGTATGGCCCTGTTGTGTCCTGCATTGGTACAGTGTGTTGTAGGTTTGTGCACTGAATGTGCAGCGCTTCTCTGGCCCTGCCTGGCTTACTGCACAGGCAGAGACCCACTCTCCTGTGGGTGCCACATCCAGCACAGCCCTGACACATCCTGCTTGCTTCTGGTTCTGCAGAAGCCTGTCTCTTGCCTGTGTGAGACCCTCTTGGGAAAGCTGTTCACCAGAAAAGGCAGTTTCCTAACCTGGGGAAAAAGTTGATAGAGCAGGGCCCTGCAGGTAACTTAAGTCAGCTTTGTGCAGTCCTACTTAGCTTCTCCTCCAGCCCAGAAGATCCTTGGCTGAGGATGCACAGCAAGGTAAAGAGACGGAACGCAGAGCTCAGAACAGATAGGATGGGCTACCTGCGTAGCTCTTTGTGCCTTAACGGCATTTGTCACTGTGCAGATGGCTGGACAACCAAGATAGTGTGTAAGACCTTCTTCTGACCTTCTTTAGTGCCGTGCATGTCAGCTCAGCCAGTCATGCTTGCAGAAGTGGCAGGTTGGCATCCGACACAGAAGTACTGTGTAGCATTGTTCTGTGCGAAGCCCAGGATGTGTATTGGTGAAATACTTATATTTTGCCATTCTGGTATGTATCTTAGTGACATAGTTCTACACAATTGCAAACAGAATTATAAACAGGTTTCTTTTCTACCTTTATTTTTTTTCTAAAACAGGTCTGAAGAAAGAAGTACAAAAAGATCAGGATGCTAACAGACCAGCTGTCTCATCTCCTAAGAGATCAACGGTAACAGCCACCAAGCTCCATTCACCAGGTATTTATGAACCCAAAAGCACTGTTTCAGGGAAGATTTAAACTTGTCGACTTTGCATCTCTTGTTAACACAGTAAAATCTGAGACCTACTATTGTTAAGTGAAGATTGATTGTGTCCAAGGTTCATTAAGCTGGCTGTGAGTACAGCAGACTTTATCATACCAATGCATGAGCTGAATAGACTTATGTTTTCTTTGTTATAACCATGCAATCATCTCATTGGCAGGTTGGCATCCGACACAGAAGTACTGTGTAGCATTGTTCTGTGCGAAGCCCAGGATGTGTATTGGTGAAATACTTATATTTTGCCATTCTGGTATGTATCTTAGTGACATAGTTCTACACAATTGCAAACAGAATTATAAAACAGGTTTCTTTCTACCTTTATTTTTTTCTAAAACAGGTCTGAAGAAAGAAGTACAAAAAGATCAGGATGCTAACAGACCAGCTGTCTCATCTCCTAAGAGATCAACGGTAACAGCCACCAAGCTCCATTCACCAGGTATTTATGAACCCAAAAGCACTGTTTCAGGGAAGATTTAAACTTGTCGACTTTGCATCTCTTGTTAACACAGTAAAATCTGAGACCTACTATTGTTAAGTGAAGATTGATTGTGTCCAAGGTTCATTAAGCTGGCTGTGAGTACAGCAGACTTTATCATACCAATGCATGAGCTGAATAGACTTATGTTTTCTTTGTTATAACCATGCAATCATCTCTCCTTGAAAACAAAGAGTTGTTGCTATTACATGTTTAAGGGCACAGGAACATTTTTTCTTATCATTATAATTTTCTCATATAAAAAGATAATAGATAGATACAGTGAAATAAAAGACACCTCAGACAATTACCTGGAGTGATAGTATATTATTCGGAATCTACTCTTACTGTTCCACAGAGGCGCTAAATTTCTCAGGCTATTTCTATGCATAACTGGAAAAGGGATTATCTATAGAAATAACCTTTAGAGTGCTATTGGGGCATTGTCAACTTACCCCTCAATATTGGGCACAAACACATGGTTTTAGCATTTCTAAAGAGTACCTTTATTTATTGACTAAGATGAAGAGAACTTATGTCTATTTATGTCCACTAAGTGTACATTAACAAAGGTATAAGGTACCTAAAGGCTTTTGTAAGGCTGGGCTTTGGCTGATCTAAAGGCTTCTGAAATGAGTGGTCCCAGTGATTTCATTGTGCTTGCAGTTTATCTTCTGTTCTGTTACCTCATTTTTCAGACTCTACTTAAATAATTTAAATATCTCTACAGCTATATGATACTTGAGTTATAATTATGGGGGGTAGAACCCCATGTTTCTTCATTTGATGGTAAAGTATAAAACATGTAGAACAACTCTCCAGCTCCTATAACTTGTATCGAGTCTTTTCATGTTTACTAAACTCAATACCTATTCTTCTTCTTCCTAACCAACAAAATCAAGAAAATGGAAGGTTAAATTTAATCTTTCCAGGCACCAACAGGACTCAGAATTCTTCTCCTCACTAAGATACTACCGTAAAAAGATGAACTTAACACTGTCCTCTGAATCATATAATTTTCAGGCTATTTTGCACCTGATGAGATCACCAAGAGAGATCCAAAGAAAAATTTGTTGCGGAGAGTGCCAGGCCAGCAGCTCACCAGCGTTTATAACAGTGGGAGTCCAGTTTAAGCACCAGCACTGATTGTGGCTGTAGCAGCATGTTACAGCACAGCTGATTTGCTTCCACTAGAATTAGAAAGCAAAATGAAACATAGGCATATTTGTACTGTGTATTTGTATTGTCTTAAGGAGGCCTGCGTTTCCACAGGTAACTTAATGATTTTCAAGGCTTAAATTTTTGGCATATCCAATTCGTGGGGCCTCAAAGGTTTCTTCAGTCTCCTGAGAGGTTGAGTAACTGCCCTCTCTCCATCAGACTGATTTAGGATTTCTTAAGCTTGGTTGTCTGAAATTATGGCAACCTAAAATTGTTCATCACTGTAAGGATCAAATAGGAAAATAAACCTCATCTTCATTTGTTTTTTTTAGAGTAGCCTTTAGCATTATTTGAAATAACAACAGCAATAACAAAGCAATGAAGACAGACAATCTTTTCACCTATTTAACGATTTCACAAAATAATCAAAGCAGCCATTAAACAGGATAAGGAGTGGGTGTAGCTGGGGCTAAGGGGCAGTAGCACAGCCTTTCCTCCATCAGGATCACAAACTCGTGCAGCATTTACACTTTGTGATAGGAAAGCTTGTGTCCCCCAGGTAACTCCACCACAGCTACATGTTGCCATGGAACAGGCTCTAAAATTTCTGAGTGCTGTTTCTAGGTTGTTTTCCCTCTGTTACTGGCCTCTTCACATGCAGTTCCTTTTAATCAGCGCTGGTTTTTGACTGTCATACAAATTTTTTTTTAGCCTTGAATCTAATCTTTAGAATTTGGATCAGTCCTCCTGAAGACTTGCAAGGGAGTTTTGAGATGCAGAGCCTTGTACAGATCTCAATTTTATCTATTGATGCAATACCATTCCTGAAATCTGTGTATAGGAGCAGGTGGACATGGATGCAGGTGCTCTCCTTCCACCCCATTGCAGGATGGTGCCATGGTGCCATCTGTTTCTGACACCTGTCACTCTACAGATTGCTTGTTATCAATCCTCTTAAAGTAATTTCCTCACTTTCCTTACCAAAATGTTGGAAATTGGACAGTTAAAAGGCAAATAAATTGCATTCCCCATCTAAATCCTCATGGACTGTGTTAATTATGAGTATATACTTGTTATGTCTCCTTAGTTCAAACACTCAGGTAGATAAAAAAGACCTGGGAGTTTTGAAGCGGATCAAAGGGGTTCAGTGATTTCAGCGTACAGTGGGTCTGCCCCCCTGGTCCCACCATCAGCAAAAACGACATTCAGGATCAGGGCCAGCATCATTAATATATACCCTGTTTTGTGCAGAGCAACAGAAGAGAGACATCAATGGCAGAATAAGCTTAGTAAGCTGCTTTTCAGACCCAAATGAACCAAGAAATTCAGATTGTCCCTGAGGAGAATAGCACAGTTTAATTTACAAGGACAGCTTATAATGCTGACAAGGACAACATAGAGATGTGCACTTCAAATGTTCCAGTGAACAGGAAAGGTAGAAAGATATAAGACACAACAACCTGATGGGTTTCGGTTTTAATTAAAACTAGACTGATTTCAAGGGCTTCCGCCTACACTTCTCCCTATGTCTTCTGTTGTAACATCACCATGCTGCCTAAACAACCCAAGACTTTTATACTAAAAAGACAGATATTTATGGCTGTTGCTTTTATGAATTTCTTATTTTGTGATAATACTTACTGCCCAGTTAAGAGCCCCTTTAAATGAATGAAAGAATCTGTAAGAAAATATCATTCCTGCAGAGAAAGGTGTACAGGCTTTAACTGACATGAAAATGGATAGAGGGCAACAGCTATGCTGGTGGAACTCTCTCAATGACAGGAAGTCCTGTCTAACATCCCGTATTGTATTATTTAGGTCTTGCAACATCATTAAGTTAGTCTTGACATGTTACGAAACCTGGTATTCCTCTTTGCAAATCATGGGCACAAAGAGCTTCAAAGGCTGTTTTGCACTTGTGGCTCTTTGCAGTTGCAGCATGAGATACTTGGAGACATGAGAGAGAATCTCTGCTGGAGCTAGCTCCCTGTAAGCTTAGCCTGGAGCCAGAACATAGTCAAGCAAGTTGGAAGATACGCTCCACACAAGCTGGGGATCTGAAAAAGTAGGAATATGCTCCTGGGGTATTGCTCTAACAAAGCCATACTGCTTCCCTGCCTGATCTAGTAAAAGTGCCCTAAGGATCCACTTGCACACCCAGGCCAAGGTCTTAAAGATCTAAAATATCTAAAGCACATCTGCCAGAATTACCTCTGGAACAATGCTCTACTTCACAAATTGGCTCAAACTCATACCATCAGATGCATCTCTGTGGAAGGATTCTTCTGGTTTTTAGGAAAGGGGTAGGTAATATCCATGGTAGAATACTGTCCCCTGTTACATTCATTGCTGAGGACTGGTTGGAGACATTTTTCTTTATTATTTTTCAGGAACTGTATATTACAAGACTACAAAACTACAAGATATCCTTTTTTCAGATTCTTGCATACCCAACCCTTTCTGCTAACACAGAAATGTTCATTTTTCATCTGTATCCAGACCAATGTCCACCATCTCTAGTAACACATGAGAACAAGGTGCCTGACTCTATTTTCTCCCTCTTTCTTACTGACTGCAGCCCCTAGGCTAAAAGCTTGAGACTAGTGGGAGGAGCTGAGGAAGAGAACCAGAGATTCCTGGCCAGTATTCAGGAATGAGCTAAAAAGCATCAGCTGAGGAAAGAGTCAGGGTAGCAAAAAGAATCAGTAAGCTGTGCAAAGTTGTTGTCCAGCTGGCCGTAAATGTTTGCAGAGGAGAGTTCTCAGAAAGCTAAGAACATAAAGACAAAACAGATTGTCCAAGCAGTGGCTTGAGCAACGTGACACTACCAGAACACTACCCCTTCTTGCTTCATCCTCGTAACTGAGTATATCCAGAGAAGTGGATAGTTGACTCAAGCAGGATATGAACTTAATTTAGGATGAAAGCCTCACTCTCCTGAAGTGGTTTATCATGAGTAAGCTTCGGTTCTTGTGCCATTCATGTGAATATGACACTGTAGTTGAGCTGATATCCTAAAGACAAGCTACACTAGTGGTTTCACATCTTTATACAGGATCAGGCTTGCTTCAAGCCAACTTGGAGCACATCAGAGGAGCCAGAGTCTGTCTGGACCTGTTTCTGCAGGCAGAACATATAGTGATTCTGATGTGACCGATGGTGCAGAGAGAGCAGCCATGCAGAGCCAGTGGTGTAACCAGTCAGCATTACGTGGTACCTGGTGGCATTTCTGTACATATCTGGTTTGTGCTGCAACTTTAGAAGTGGTATAAAGGGGAGAGCAAGGGGAACTGGCAAGGTAGACTGCAGTATTGTTGATAAGAAGAAATAGTGATATCCCAATAGCAAGCAACCCATGCTGTGTTTGCATTCAGGGAAGGACAGCTCCAGCCCCACATTGTCCCATTTGGAGGCAAAAGGAGATCTGCAAAGGCAAAGTAAATCTGGCACCTCTGTCAAGTCACCAAGCTTGGGATTCAGGTGGCCAAAGAAATTGTGTGTAGAGTGTAAATGTCATCCAACTGTTTTCCACATCCACAATAGGATAAGCTGAATCTCAACCTGGAAGTGCCCGTTTCTCTCACTGCCATTCAGGAGAGTTCAGCATCACACGTCAAGATGCAGACCTCTGTTCTTGTAGATGTCTAACAAAAGTGAGATGAATCCTTCCTCTAACGACCTCAGTTCTCAGTAAGACAAGAACTTGTCTCAACTTGTAGCAGACCTTCAGGCTCAGAGCCTGAGATGAGATGACTGTTACAAAGCTTTGAGCTTTGGCCCCTAGGGAAACAAATCTCGCTGTGCTCTTGCTTTTTTTGAAAGTCATTACAGATCTGTGTGAATGCTACAGACTCTTTTTCCTTTTATAGGACTGAGTCCCAAAGGCCTTAGAAACACATAAAGGTCATGTCCATAGATATAAAGTAAGTGACCCTGATGGTCTTTTCTTCTCTCCTTTGTAGGACATCCCAAGCAAAGGCCAACCACCCCAAAGAATGGATTCTCCCCCAAACCAGGAGAGAGTCGAGACGCTGAAAAGCAGTTCGTCCAGAGATTGAAGGAAAAGTGTGACGAGCAGTCCCAGCAATTAAGCAATATTCGAGATGAGCTTAAAAGGGCCAGCTGTGGCTTCAATGTCTTTGCTATAACAACACAGCACTTTTTCAGGCAGGTAAGTGCAATGGGTACTTCTTACCATTGGAAAGATATTTTGCCTTTACACCAGTCACTTGCCCAAATTTATTCCACAGTCGTCGAAACTTTGTTCTTGGGAGCAAAGCATGTAATTTCTTAGCAACAGTTATTATGAGGGGGGAATTATTATTTGATGCCATGTATTTGAAAATCAAAGTTCAGGAACTTGGAAGAGGAAGAGTTGTGACTGAAGCATTTGTCACAAGCACGGAGGGGTTTCAGGATGTTTTTAGGAGTGAAGCAGATGCAGAAACTTAGAAGTCCCAGTCCCTGACCGCTACAGCTGGAATGGAAAATGTAACTGAGATATTGATACTTGCAAACAAAAGCAAAAACAATCCATGCATTTAGTCAACCAAAGGTGTTGGATGAAGGAAAAGATTTGCTTTCTCACAGTACTTATCTACTGTTCCTGTTCACCACAGATCAGGCAGAGTGGTCCCTGTTACAGAGGTCCCAATTCCCACAGAACTTAGAATAATATTATCTCAGCATTTAGGAGATTACATTCAGCAGGTATAGAGAACATAAAGAAAATGTTGTCAATAATTAGAGAAGCTTATTTATTCACTAAACCTGAGACAAAATGAGTAACATTTAAAAGACAACCACAGTAGCCATGAAGGGCTTGTAGGTACTGCTTGTTTCAAAAGCCGTTTAGTGATCTGGGAAATCTAGCTGGGCTCCGAGGTCCAGACCTGGTTCACCTGATGCCCATGTATTTTGTACCATCCCAGGTTAAGCTGGTGTCCCAACTACTTTGTAAAACAGGCAGACAATCACCAGCAGTAGGACCCAAGGTTTGGATAATATCCTTGATTGCCTGTTTGTCTACTTTTGGAAGAGACGAGAGTAAACTTTCAGCATTAAATGGGAGAAAGAAACCAAAAAACAAAACACAGATTCAAACAGTCTTTACAAATTCTGAAATACTTTATTCAGTTATTTTTTTATATTAGCGGGAAAGGTTACCTTTTGAACAAATACCGTAGTTCACACTTTTCCTGAAGCAGGAGCTGATCTTGCTGGGGGGAGCTTCACTGAACTAAAAAAGTAGGGAATTTTTAAAAAGTACTAAATATTTTAAATATCTTCCCAGGGGATTTTCCCCATCTATTTTTCTTTAGTCTTGACATTTCTGGGCTTGATGGGCATTTGTAAAGCTTTTTTTTGCTTTTTTTTGTTTGGAGCCGACTGTGGAGTGTCCTTGATTAAAGCAGAGGGAAACAAAAAAGGGCAGAGCAGTGTCTGCTCAGCTTTGTCTATGTGTTGTCCACTGGGGAGAGATTTTTTCACCTCATGCCTCATTCACAATTTGCTGAAGGAATTCTGGAAGCTTGGGCATATCTCCTTCGTCTCCTCTGGATATGTCTTAAATGAGAACAGCTGCTGCAGCTGAGCTTCGAGATGACTCTCATCTTGTTGGTGCATGTTAGATCTGTCCTGAGAATGCCTCTTAAATTGAACACCTCAGGGGACTTTATTTAATAGAGTCCTCTCCAAGTCCTAGCTGGGCATAGCTGTGCCTCTTGTTCCCAGCTCCTGTGCACTATCAGGCCAGCTGGGGGTTTGCAGTAATACTCCTCTGAGTGCCTGGAGGGCTTGGAGGTAAAAAATAATATACCTGTGGAATTTAAGCGCCTTCAGGCTTGGGCAGGATTAGATGTAGATTTTTTTCAGATCCACTGCTGGACTCGCTTACCTGTGTTCAGCCTGAGTGTCAGTCCCTTCTGGGCTTGCCTGGTTACCCTGGACTATATATATCTGCACTTCACCGTTCTGTGCAGTGCAAGACACTTGTGTCTTGCTGCTCGCTGCTGGGAGCCATGTAACATGGACCTCTCCCAGGGAAGGACACCCCTGGCTTCCCTGGGTGACGAGCTGCACAGTCAGCATGAGCCCAACAGTTATCCATTAGGTACTCAGATGTGGTACCTACATTAGGAGTACGGTTGCTTTAGGCTCCATTTTTAGTGAATGGAGGCAGGTGAGCACTTCCAGAAGACTATTTACAGCACCAAAGATCTGAATTTCTGCTTGAGGTACTTGCTGTCTCAACTGAGGCCTCCAGGGAGGCCTAAGGCTGCTGCACTTTTAAATTGGATGCTTAAATTGAGAACCTACATGTAGTGGGATAATCCGGGACTACTCAAGCAATTGTGTAATTGGGCAGTCTGTTGTCTTGCAACATAGACACAGCCTTCCAAGTTTCTGAGTGTCATTCGAAAATACAATCTGTAGACATTTTCTGAGATGGCATTATTTTTTGAAAGCTTGAGCAAAATTGCATTGGCTGGCTTTGAGTTAGGGCAGCATGGAAAAAGAAACTTTTCCCATTATAAAAATAATAATAATTGTGTGTGTTTGTTTCTGAGAAGCCTGCAGGCAAAATGGTTGAGGTCTGAGTAGAACTGCAGTTTGGCAAGGGAATAATATTCGTTCAGGAACAAGGTGGGGCCTTATTCCAGAGAAGTTTGGGGTTGATTTGTTCAACTGGCAGTTCTACTTTGCTTAGCAGAGGGCCCAATCCTACTTTGCTGCTAGGGAGCCTCTTTGGGCTGATGGTCACCCATAGCTTAATTTTAGTATGTCTCTCTCTCTCTCCTTATACCACACCAAAATAATGTCCAAAACATAGATTTTTCTCTGAATTGGAGCTGAAATCTGTTGGAAAATGTGCTCCCAGGCAGCGAGGACTGGACTGAGTCTTAAAAGTAACCCAAGGACCAGTGTTTTGCACACCAGTAGGAGTCTCCCCATGGCCGTGGCTCTCATCTTGCTCACACTGTTTCTGTTCTCTCTCCAAAGTTGGGGAAAGCACCAATGCAAGTGGTCCAACAGACATGTTTAGCTGAAGAAAGAGAGTGTCAATATGTAGTAAGGAGTGTTGGCCCACACCGGCAGTTTCTTTGAGTGCTTTCCAATTTTAAGCACTTGCTATAGCAGCCTTAAGGTTGCTGCATTGCTAACCCATTTTCTTTGGGTTTTGTTGGATTTGTTTTCTGGCTGTTCCAGACCACTGCTGAATGGTATCCTGGAATCATCTCTCTCTCTCAGCCGAAAATGCTCTTAGCAGGCAAGATTCATTGAATAGGTATCAAGGAGTGCATAACATGTAGCTGTGCTTAATACAGACCCATTAAATGACAGCTAAACCAATTTGCTGTCTTGGGAAAAAGCCTAGGCAATAGAAGCGGGTGATGGCTGAGGCAGTGGACAGAAAAAATTAAAGCAGTGGTTCTGACATAAGCATTTAGCTAGTTATGAAAAGTAATGATTGCAGTGCCTGTGGACAGCATGGCTTCTAATTATTATTTAATTAGCACGTTAATTAGTTAAGGCCCTCAGATATGCACGCATGACTCCTGTTGACTTTGGGAACCACTTCAAACTTATTCTGAAGAGGAGCAGATTGAGTTTGTCCTTAATGTTGGCTGTTCATCATGTCAATACAACCTTTGTGCTGTGAGGGATACTCCAACGTGAACAACTGACTGGTGGAAGTTGGAGTGATACCGTGAAGATGATAGCATGAAGACTTTTTAGAGCAAATACCATGAACGGCTCGCCCTGACCTGGGTCATTCCTGACCTGGTCTGGCTTGTTAGCCCAGTAATAATGACAGTCCTGGCCCAGTTTCAGCCCTGTTCAGCAAAGTGACCAGCAGCAGTCCCTCCTGGAAGTGGTAACAGTGCCATCTAAAGGAGAGTAGCCCAAAGTGACAAATTCTGGAGGGTAAATCATCCTGGACATAAACAGGGAGAAAAAAAATCCACTTTCGTATCTCTAGTACACTCAGAGCAGACATGTTTCTGCTGAGGACTGTTGTGGCCAAACCACGCTGAGGCCCTGGAAACTGGGCTAATGCCTTTCTGCCAGTACAGTATGTTCTAACAGCTGAAAAGCGGAATCTGGTTAGCAAGTTCTGCCTCTGAAATTTCAGATTAGGACTCCAGATCTACAGTGCATGTGAGAGGAAGGGATCCTTTCTGGGCTGCGGACCCCAAGGGTGGGAGCAGGTTATGGAAAGGGTTATGCTGGTGTAGTCTGTCACGTACTCTGCATGGGCATGGAGGTGTTTCCAGACCTGCAGCACGGCCTCGTGCTGCGGTCTTCATCACGGGGCGGGGAAACTGCTCAGGACAGGTGCCAGCACATAGGCACAATCGGATCAACTGGGAATGGGTGAACCACACAGATGCCCTGAACAACAGTTGGGATGGCGCTGCAGTACTTGATGGTATCCCAGCGCTTTGTGTCTACCAATGTTGGGAAGACGTGTTACCAGTAACCCGTGTGTGTGTTTGTCTCCATACCTGAGTTGTAACCCCCTGAGCATGGGTTACTTTTGGGTGGGTATACAATACACAATACAATACACATCTTCCAGACAAGTAAACGCTCATAGCAGCGTCCTGCAAAATCAAGGATGGGCAAGGAAAAACCTTTTCCCCCATTCAAATAACTGAGATATGTGTGTGCTTGTGTGTATTTTGCAGAGTAATATTTCTGTCCTGTGAATGAACAATACGCCACGCAGTGTCATGTAACTACCTTGTCCAAATGCTAATGACCTCTTGTGTTAGAGGCAAAATCAGTTGCACTAGTTATAAGTTGCTTGGCACTTCCCACCTTAGCCTTCAAAACAGTAATTTGGGCTAACATTTCAAGTGCTTATCTCAGGCTGAGCTGAAAATGGTTTATTTTCGCAACTGTCTCTGAGAATGAATTTAGGACAAATGTATCTATTGTTTGTGCCTGGTGGTGGCACAGTGGTAAGAAGCCAGCACTCATCAGAAAGACTGATGTTCTGGCTTTCAGAGGTACTACTTTCCCAACATTTGCAAAATATGTTAGAATATGGCCCAAGAATAGTCCTTAGAAAAGTGCCACTCCTCCCTCATCATTATTACAGCTTGGCTAGATTTCCTGTATTGAGCAAGTTCAGTCTTTTCTTTGCTCCTGCTGGAGACCAGA